GAAGCAAAGTAAGTTCTATTGTTTTAGTTTTGTTAGTTAGGACTTTCAATTGAGTCACCTTGCTATTTATAAATTCACACTCACATATTTTACATTTAAGCTATTATATCTCTGTAAACATTGTGCTTCATATAGTTGTATTTTTTTTAGTAGTTTGTTTCTAATGGTGCACCACTGTTACCTTTGTTGCTAATTGTACTATTGTTACCTTTGTGTCTTGGTTTGTATTATGATTTGAGGAGCATTTAATGTTTGGCTGCCAGAAGTCAGAACATGCCTTTTCAGATCTTTATTGCTGGAATTTTAATGGTTGTATTCGCACTTGATAAACAATAATTCTTTTTTGCTTAGCACTGGAGTTCAATATATGAGTATTATCAGTATATGGCTTGATTCTGTGTGTTATGAAGGCTTATATGTTGATAACAATAAGGCTTTGTCTTATATCGGACAGAAGTACCTGTAGTAATCTAGTGTTGCTTTGTAATTGCAAGATTTGCTTGAACTTTTCCTGCTAGTTCTATAACATCTAGTGTTTGTTGAATGCAGAGTTACTGCTGTAGATGGTCGTTACCAAATTGGAATCTACACTGTACGAAAGATTCAATATGGTGAGGAGGTGACATTCGATTACAACTCCGTTACAGAGGTGTGACTCTTTTTCCTCTTGGTCTCATGTACACTAAATTGCAATTTACATGACTACACAAGTACACATGTAACAATTGTGCTCATCTATTTTTATGACAGAGTAAGGAAGAATACGAAGCGTCAGTTTGTTTGTGTGGCAGCCAAGTTTGCCGGGGAAGCTACTTGAATTTAACAGGCGAAGGTGCTTTTCAAAAGGTAAGAGAAAAGTAATGGCTGCACTTAATTCTTAGAGGCTCAGATTCCTCATGAGGGAACTAAAATATTTTCTTTCAACCTCACAATCTTGGTGCCCAAAGATAGGAATTTCTGTGCGTATTCTTCTCCTTTATCTTTTAAAGTCATTTTAGTTTTATTAACTGGATTATTGTCCATTCATCAGGTGCTAAAAGAGTGGCATGGAACTCTTGATCGTCATCAGTTAATGCTGGAGGCTTGCGAGTTAAATTCAGTATCTGAGGAGGACTATCTTGAGTTGGGAAGGGCTGGTTTAGGCAGTTGCTTGCTGGGTGGGTTGCCAGATTGGGTGATTGCATATTCAGCTCGCTTGGTATGTTGTTTTTCTGCTGCCTTTGTTTTTCCTTTTTAGTAATTATTGAAATCAACTGTCATTTATTTTCATTCCCTTTCATTTTGGTTGAAGGTGAGGTTTATAAATTTTGAAAGAACAAAGCTTCCTGAGGAGATTTTAAAGCACAATTTGGAAGAAAAGAGGAAGTACTTCTCAGATATTTGCCTTGAGGTTGAGAAAAGTGATGCTGAGGTTCAGGTGATTTTTTTTTTTTTTTACTTATCTGTGTGTGTCTGTTTAAGATCACGTCATTTGTGGTTGCTCCTGGCTTACCATTTCTTTTTGCATGATAGGCCGAGGGTGTGTACAACCAAAGGCTTCAGAATTTGGCTGTAACTCTTGACAAGGTGATTACCCTTTTCCTATGTGTAAAGAGACTTATCATCCTTTTATTTCCTTTTGTCTTTGTTAAATATTTGATAAACATATTTAGTAAGATATCTTTAGTACTTAGAGGTTGTGGTCTAGCACATTATTATGACTTAATGAATCTTACTGTGGTATAGGCTTATCGTGGGTGGGCCTTGTTATACTAATTTCGCAATAGAATGTTGCATGATGTGAAGATTTTGAAATTAATGGTTTTGCTTAGCTTGCAATTTCTATCACTTTTGTTGCCAAACTTCTGCACAGATTTGACTGTTGTCTATATTTATGCATGTTAATTGATTCTCAAATTTATCTACACTGTTTTATACGGAGAAACTACACCTAATGAGGCTTAATTTTTAAGTCCTTATTCTCTGCTATCAACAAGTGGTCGTTTTGTTGTATTCTATTCCACCGTATGAAGATCTGATCAATAATATCTACAGGTGAGGTATGTTATGAGATGCGCTTTTGGCAACCCCAAGGATGCTCCACCTCCGCTAGAAAGGTTAAGTCCTTTAGAAGCTGTTTCCTTTCTATGGAAGGGAGAAGGATCACTTGTACAGGAGCTTCTTCAGAGCATGGCTCCTCATGTGGAGGAACACTTGCTAAATGATCTACGGACGAAGATCCTTGCTCGTGATCCATCAGGTTCAGATGACATATGGAAAGAACTTAAAAGATCTTTATTATGGTGAGTAACATACGCATGAGTTAATTTTCTTATGCTAGGTTTTGACTCGGTAAACGATTCCAACTTTATGGGAATTTTTTGTTTCTTTTTGAAGGTTGAGAGATGAAGTCCGGAATCTTCCTTGTACATACAAGTCTAGAAACGATGCTGCTGCTGACTTGATCCATATTTATGCTTACACACGTTGTTTTGTTAGAATACGGGTACGTCTTTCTAATTAGAACCTCTAAAAAGTTTTCTAATTGATGTGCAATTCTGCTATCTGAATCTGAAGCGAGCTTCATTCTACTCTCAGGAATACAAAACTGTAACTTCGCCACCAGTATACATTAGTCCACTTGACCTAGGCCCCAAGTACACCGAGAAACTGGGATCAGGTTTTCAGGAGTATTGCAAGACGTACGGGGAAAACTATTGTTTAGGGCAGCTTATTTTTTGGTATAACCAGACTAGTGCAGAGCCGGATTGTAGCCTGGCAAGAGCGAGTAGGGGTTGCTTGTCATTACCGAACTTCAGTTCTTTCTACGCCAAGGTTCAGAAACCTTCACTGCAGCGTGTTTATGGCCCAAGGACAGTGAAGTTTATGCTAGCAAGGATGGTGAGTTTTGGTCTCTCGTATATCTATGCCTTTAATTTCGTTTGATTCGAGATGTGGCTTTGCTCATATATTCCATTGCTTTTCAGGAGAAGCAGCCGCAGAGACCTTGGCCTAAGGATCGAATATGGTCGTTTGATAACTCTCCAAAAGTTATCGGCAGTCCAATGCTGGACGCTGTTGTGCATAAATCTCATTTGGACAGGGAGATGGTGCATTGGTTAAAGCACAGACCCGCGATATTTCAGGCAATGTGGGATCGGTGAAGTTTTGCAAGCGTCAGGAACTGACAGCCGGATTACTCGCCCTAACTCTTTTTTTTCCACTTGTTTCGGAATGATTTTTTGATTTAAAGTTTACTGCTGCCCCGTTCAATGTGGGGAGTTTGTAATCATTCCCGAACAGCGAGCTTTTCCAATTCTTGTGTACAGCTCTTCATCTTTGTAATTTGTAATTCATTACGTAGCAGTAGAACACCTGTTTTTTTCACCTCCACTTCTAATTTTGGAGAGAAATATGAAAAGTAGAGAAGTAGTCCAATGCATTAGCTCTTGTCTTTGCCTTTTGTTTTCGTCATCTCCAGAATTACTTGGAGCATTTTTAGTTTTCCGATCTGAAAGAGCTTTTTCCGGTGACCCTCTGCGAAACTCCGTTGAGGCAAGACTTGAATAATGCAGTTTCTAGACTTGAATGATGTTCATAGGATTATGATTTTCACCCAAAAGCCCCTCTCTTGCTCTGATTTCGCTCAAGTCACCCTCACCAATGTTAGCCCCGCCACCGTTGAAGCCTTCAACCTCAACTCCGCCGCCTCGGACTACTCCCAACTCCTGAGGTTGCCCTGACACGAACCCATTTCGGACTACAAGGGATTACTTCCCAACCCCAACGTTTTACCACTGCCCGCCTGATCTCAACTTGCTGCCCACCACCCATTTCTCTCCAACACCGCCTGCTCCGCCGCGTCATCTCCAGCACGACGACTACGAATCCACTTTGTTCTCTTGCATTTTTTAGACTTTGCCAATAAGTCAATTTGTTCTCTCTACATGATAAGAACACGGATCCATTTGCATTGAAAGTTGTACCTATGTGAGTGAGATGGTATTCGGAGATACTTTGTGTTTGGCTCGCTTAGCCTCCCGGGCCAAAAAAAAAAAAAAAAAAGCAACAGTGAGTTCCATTCATTGAGCCCAACAATGGTTCTATGCGTAGCAACGAAATAGCTTGCTATTAAGTGATCGAACAAACCTAATCACGTGACACCTCTACGGAAGATTTTCTCATCAAATAATCATGTCCTATACAGAAGTGCAAGGCCCATCTCATCTGGGTCCAGATGAATAGAAAAGTAGGCCCAAGACCCAAAATATGTAACCCAAGAGACGTAAAGATCCATATACATACCTGCAAAGTTACTTCGTCCTATCCTAAAGTGGAATAATCCCCAACCGACCCAAAAAGAAAGGAAATAGTCCCCTGCCGACCTAAAAAGAAAAGGAATAGTCCCCCAATTTGAGAAAATATAGAAATCCTTTAACCTTGGAGAATATGAATATCTCTGTCAATATACTTAGGAGTATTTTTACTACCTTTCTAAAGAAAATGATTGAAATAAGACTTAAGCCATATTATATCTCATTCCACTTCTACCTTTCATTCAGCTTTTGAATTTGAATAAATTCAAGAAAGATTAATCAAAATATAAAGGATAAACATGCAATTTTCCTCCTCTTACACAATTCCGTTTATTTTTGTTTATTATTTGTGTTTGATTTATTTTATTTGATGACCAGAAATAAATAAAGAATTGTGAGAGACTAAAAATGGTGCATGAAAAATTAACTCCCTAATATGAAAAGAAAATGAAGAAACGAGTGTAGACTGAAAAAACGACAGTGTGAAAACCATTAACCCTTGGAGGACCAACCGATTATTGGCATACAGCAGGGCATATTAATCCAAATACTCAATGGTGCCAAAACATCCTGAGTTGTTACAACCTAAAAGTCAAAAAAGTGTCCTGAACTTACTCAGAGATTGACCTTGGGGAATGTGTGGGGGTGGTGAAAGATGCTGAGGCACGCTGCTCTATGTGCTGGTTTATATGAGCTGGTTTATGCCCTACTTTGCTTGCTTCCCATCAAAGGAATCCACGACACGACCCAAGAGAAAAGAAGAGAAAGAAGTCCCTAAAGCAAATTAAAGCTCGCACTGTGTAGACAAAAGAAGCTTTTTTTACCCACTTATCCCACCTCCTTGTAATCCTTTCTTCCACACATACTTTTCTCTGCAGTGTGGACTGTGTAGTCTATCCCCTTTCATACATATTCCCCTTCCTCCCACCCTCCTCATCATCTAAGAGAGATCTAGAGAGAGAGAGAGATAATGGTTAAGATTGGAGGGTTCTTCGTCTGCCTCTTGATCGTGGCAATGGACATCGTAGCCGGGATTCTTGGCATCGAAGCAGAACTCGAACAAAACAAGGTACATACCTATTGCCTCGCTTATTTTTACACAAGCGATACTACAAGATCTCAGTTACATGAGTAAATGTTTTTAATCAGTTGAGCTACAAAAGCGTCTTGCCATAATACTGTTGCTTGCAATAGGTGAAACACTTGAGACTCTGGATCTTCGAGTGTAGAGAACCAAGCCATGCAGCATTCAAGCTAGGGTTAGCTGCAGCCGGACTTCTAGTTCTTGCACATGTTATTGCAAACTTGCTTGGTGGATGCAACTGCATTTGTTCTCAGGATGAACTCCAAAAGGCCCCTCCTAATAAGCAAATCTCTGTCGCTTGCCTCGTCCTCACTTGGTACATGTCGATAATCGATGATTAGGTTAATTGTTTAGCGGTTGTGTTTGATAACCATTGTCGTGTTTGATAACCATGGTCGTTTTCAGTTTTCAGTTTTCTTTTCATGTTCTTATTTTGTTCGTTGTTGATGATCAGGATCATTCTGGCCGTTGGATTGTCGATGCTGGTGATAGGAACTTGGTCAAACCATAAGTCAAGATCTTCATGTGGTTTCACACACCATCATTTTCTGTCGATTGGAGGCATCGTGTGTTTTGTTCATGGGCTGTTTTGTGTAGCTTATTACATATCTGTCACTGCCTCTACTGGTTAATAATTTAATTAGTTTCGTTAATTAAGCCGTGATGAAGGATTAATGTTGCCTTGTTCCTTTCATATCTCCTAACTTTACCTCCTCTTTCCATGCGAGACAATAGTCGTGCTTATCTTTCTTTTACCCCTTTGATTAATTTAAGACAATGTGCTAATCTTTCTTTTCCACTGATTAGTTTTGGACAAGGAATGGAGATTATTAATAATAATATTGCGATAATGTTGGATGTTTCTTTATTTTGTTTTGTCTTTCTTTATCTTTTGGGATGTGATATCTACACATCATTTTTTATTTCTCTCACATCTTTTTGGTTTTCGACCGTCGGATTGGATGAATTGAAGAAGATTAACGGACAAAAATTAACAAATGGTGTGTGAGAAGTAAAAAGGATGTGTGGATAGCATATCCTTATCTTTTAAAGGGTGTAGAATATAAGTTAGATTTTGGGATGTCATAAGCGCATGCATGTGATTGCGTATGCCCTAACGTATGTGTTATCCTAACCTTGAGATATAAATATGGAATTTGCGATCTCTTTAATTAAATTATTAATAATCTCTATATATAAAGCCATCATTCTAAAACAGTAAAGCTTTTAGTAATCCGTTAAACTTAATATTATGAAGTCGGTTGAAATAATATTAATAATCTCTATATATAAAGCCAGCATTTTAAAACGGTAAAGCTATCAATATACTAAAATTGAGTAGAATGTAAACAAAATGTGATTTATAGAGATAAAATAGTAAAATGATAATATTTTGAATTAAACGAAAATTAATTAAAATTTCTGAAAAATAAAAGAATCCTACATAAAAAGTAAATTGCCACACACGTTAGGGCGTTGCAAAAGATCCATTAAACTTAAATTTCGGTGTAACATGAATAGGTAATTAAGCTGATATAACACAAAAAATTTACCTTGAAAGTGCCCAAATCATCGCTAAGTCGAGTCATTAGAGATGACCAATATATAATTTGAGAGCCATGCTAAAAGGAGTTTAGTGAGCTTTTTGTTGTGGCGTGACATCCTTGCAACAAATAAGCATGCAGAATTGCTCGGAGTCCAGGACCATCCACATAAGTCCATGCATTCTTTAGGGGAGATGGATTGCCTACCCTCCTATTTCCGGTGGTTTGGACATGTGTAAAGAAGGCCTACTGACGCTCCGGTTAGAAGATGCGACTACGGGATAGAGGTTCAGGGCCGAAGGGGTAGAGGAAGACCTAGGAAAACTTTAGAAGAGACTATAAGAAAAGACTTAGAGTACTTAGATCTAACGGAGGACATGACACAGGACCGAGCACAATGACGTTCTAAGATTCATATAGCTGACCCCACTCAGTGACTTGGATTTTTCAAGTCTCCAACCGAGAAGATTTCCTCACTCGAGAAATTAAGGGAACACTACCTCAACCTACATGCTTCACTCACAAAGCTTCAACATACAAGCTTCAACAAAAGAAAAATTCAAAGAACTTAAGAAGGCTTTGGCGTATTTAACACAATACATTGAAATGAAGCAAAGCTTATTTATTGATATCTCCGATAAGTTACAATTATATACATATACATGAGTCAAAATAAACAAACAAGAGGGGGCCTTCACAAAGGTTGCTTAGGAGAAGTTTCAGCAGTCGGTAGAGCCCCAGAAAGAGAAAGCACCGAAGGGGGATCACTCGGAGTCTCAGTACTGGACAGAACCCTAGAAGGAAGAGACATCGGAGGCTGATCATTTGGAGTTTCATTACGTGGTACAGCCCCAGAAGACGAAGGCAATAAATGCATTTGGAGCAAACCCACAAACCTCTGATGATCAAGTAAAATCTGACAATCAGATTCCTTCACCTGGTCAAGCTTCCTCTTCATGTTTGTAGCATAGTCATGTGCGAGCCTGTGCAACTGTTTATTCTCATGCTTGAGCCCTCTAATCTCCTGCTTGAGACTCATCACTTCAGCCGCCAATGATTCAACTTGGCGGGTTCGAGCAAATAGGCGTTGGACCATATTCGACACAGAACCTGCACACTGAACACTAAGAGCCAGAGAATCATTAACAGCCAACTCATCAGACCGTTTGGAAAGAAGTCTGTTATCTTTGGGAGTGAGAATGTTCCTGACCACCACCGCAGCGGTCATATCATTCTTCATCACGGAATCCCTAACGGTAAGAGGACCAGTAGGGGATAAGAAGGATGGGCGTCATATGTTGTCTGGAGAATGCGCGGCTGCCTCTTCACCAAGGTTCAAGTCAAAGCGACAGTCATTTTCAAAGGTGTTGAAGAGAGAAGAGGTCGGACAAATCAAGATCTTAGAAGTGCAAGAAGGGAGCTTCTACTGGTGGAGATTCAAGTGTGCTTTGGAACTTAATGCCAGCCTCTATAAAAATCTGCACTCGATGGAGCTTCAGAAATCGAAGAGGCGCCTGCTCAGAAATCGAAGAGGCGTTTGCTTTCTTAAAAGCTGGGCTGCTCAGAGACCACGAGGGTCGATCTCAGAGATCGAAGAGGCGTTTGCTTTCTCAAAAGCTGGGCTGCTCAAAGACCACAAGGGTCGATCTCAAAAATCGAATAGGCGCTTGCTTTCTCAAAAGCTGGGCTGCTCAGAGACCACGATGACCGATCTCAGAAATCGAAGAGGCACATGCTTTCTTAGCATTGTCAGCACCTATCACATGCACACTCAGCTTTGCGGAAATTACGGGCAATCTGTCGAAGATTTCTGGTGAAGTAGAAAGCACGTGAATCTTATTGTTCAATCATCCACTTTCCACACGCAACATCAGCTCATGGGTACCACATATAACTTTACCAAAGATCTCTGACAAAATTTAGACACGTGAAACTTGCAGCTCCCACTACATCGTTATGACCAAGAAGGGTAAAAGAATAGCAAAGAAACAACACTAACAAAGTTTAGACACATAAATTTTGAAGGTTTAGCTACCATATTATTACCCACAAGGGTAAAGGAACAGCACCACTGCTGGATAATTGGAAAGTCCCTGTGTGTCAACCTATGTGCTCTGTGGCAAGGTAGACTAGTAAAAATGCCCAACCTTTACTCACATTCGAGAAAACACTCACAACAAGATTGCTTGCTCCAAAATTGAAGAGGCACCGCCCTTCGAATCTCGAGAGCCAGACTCACAACAGGATTACTTTATCAAAAATCGAAGAGATACCACTCTCATAATTTCAAGAGCCAGACTCCTAGCATGATTGCTTTCTAAAAAATCAAAGAGGCACCGTTCTTCGAATCTCGAGAGCCAGATCCCCGATAGGATCGCTTGTTCGAAAACCGAAGAGGCATCGTTTTTTCAACTTCGAGAGCCAGATCTCCTTGGATAAAGAGCAATCAGTCAGCACTTGGAATCAAGCTTCCAGTCAGGAACTGACTGCCTGGAACCCCTTACCTGATTACTTACCTGACATTGCTCTCGAGTACTCATCTTCAACATCTTATGCTTCCAGAAAAGATACCACATCTGTCTGAGGAACAAATAGGGCAAGTGAGAAAGATACAAGGAAGCATGTGGAGACAAGCGTAACAGAACACGTGCCAATACTTCCACTACTTTGTCAACAGCAAAAGTATCATATATCAGCAGGGTCGAACGTACTCTAGATTTGATGGACTTGTTTTGACCCTCAAATTATTTAGTTGGCCTTATACTCTGGAGGTAACCAGAAAACCCTCCAGCCCAGTTCAAGAATAAGCCTGTGGAAAGTTACTTCTTCAAAAACAAAAGTATCTCATATTATTTCTTCTCATTTTCTTCTCTTTATTCTTCATGCTGCCTGCAAGATAAGGAGAATGAGAACAATCAGCCGGAACTCGAAATTAAACTTCTGATCTGGGACTGATTGCTTGGAGCTCTGATTGCTTACATTGTATGTCACCTCTTTCAGCAGATCCCCTAGCTCGGCGACTTGGGGGACTCCTACTACATGGTTTGTATCGCGCTTGACCAAGCCTGAAACTACAAGTAAGCTTCAAGTGAAATTGATACATTACCTTGATCATCTCCACCAGTTAAAGATACCACCCCTAGACGGATGAAGAGTACTTCCAGAGAAGATGTCACATCTACCTATGAGACAGATAAGGCAAGTGAAGACGATACCACACTTCGGTACTTAGAAGTTTCGTGATTACTCAGTTGCTTGGATCTTGTAAGTCCCCAACTGAGGAGCTTCCCTTCCAACTAGGAGGCCAATCACATAGCGACACGTGTCGACATCAGAAGCCAATCATAGCGCGACACGTGTCAACATCGGAAGCCAATCACAACACGACACGTGTCAATGTCAGAACAAGGCTAGAAACTTTCTTTTATAAAAGGAGATCATTTTCCCAAAATATTTCCTAATGCCATTTGTACTAAATCATTCACTTGTACCCACTAAAAGGAGAGCTTGAACCTATGTACTTGTGTAAACCCTTCACAATTAATGAGAACTCCTCTACTCCGTAGACGTAGCCAATGTGGATGAACCATGTACATCTTGTGTTTGCTCTCCTGTTTCTATCCTTTTACATACTTATCCACACTAATGACCGGAGCAATCTAGCGAAAGTCATAAACTTAATACTTTCTGTTGTACCAAAGTCCTCATTGATTTTGTGCATCAACAATCCTTAAGTTCTTACATTTTTGCATTGGTAATGGATGAGTTAACATGACATATTCGAGATGTTATTCCTTGGTGTATGCTTTACGCAGACGATATAGGGTTGATAGATGAAACTCAAGAATGGGTAAATGCGAAGCTTAACCATTGGAGAGAAGTGTTGAAATCTAAAGGTCTTCGCCTAAGCCGATCAAAGACATAATAAATGGAATACAAGCGGGATGGATGAAGTGGAAGAGTGCATCCGGCGTGTTGTGTGACCGTCGTATGCCTCTGAAGCTCAAGGAAAAATTTATAAGACGACAATAAAGTCGGTGATGCTGTATGGCACAGAATGTTGGGTGGTGAAACATCAATACGTACACAAAATGGGTGTAGCGGAGATGAGGATGCTTCGTTGGAGGTGCGGGCTCACGAGAAAGGATAAGATTAGGAATGAGTGGGTTGGACATGTGCAAAGAAGGCCTACTGACGCTCTAGTTCGAAGATGTGACTACGGGACAGAGGTTCAGGGCTGAAGGGGTAGAGGAAGACTTAGGAAAACTTTGGAAGAGACCCTAAGAAAAGACTTAGAGTACTTGGATCTAACGGAGGACATGACACAAAACCGAGCGCAATGGCGTTCTATGATTCACATAACCAACCCCACTTAATAGGAAAAAGCTTTGTTGTTGTTGTTGTTGCTCTGATTCGCCTACTTTTCTCGAAGCAGTTCCAAAAAAAAACAGACGATTGTGATAGAAAAGAAAATAATTAGGGTTCCAGTCGTTCATTCATCTTTCACCATATGCAAAGTGCATCATCAAAGAGCCATGCAACTCTATTTGTTTATTCACTTTCTGGATGTATGCAGAAAAAAACTAAAATTTGTTTCTGCAGGAGTGGTCAGAACGCAGAACCAGAGCTAAGGCAGAGTGGATGTAGAATGAACAGGCAAAAAGGAACACACAGGAGGCTAGCTCGCCTCTGCGTATGGGAGGGAGCTCACCTCGGAACATGGTGCTCGAGCTCATAGTGTTGCAGATCCATGTAGATGGAGCAGCACGGGTGAGAGAACACTAAAGAGACTAGAACAGCATTTTTCGTGTCAATAGAGTTTGAATCTACGTTAGCAAAACCTGCACCAAAAGATTGCCTAGGTCCAAATTCAAACATCCTTCAAATAGATCAGCGGGGTAAACACTGCCACTTAGAAAGTGCATCACTTTGGATCCAGGCAACAGTGGACACAGTCAAAAGTTTCATATCAATGCAGATGCAGAAGGGATTTGTAGCCACGTTCCACCATTTGACACACTATCAAAGTAAAAGACCCCTACAGTATGATAGTTCTATCAAGTAAATATTAACTCTAATCACCCTTGAGAAAGTATAGCAAGTGAAAAATTCGGATAGGCGGGTCTCTGGTATCCAGAAAGAAGCTTACTGATTGGTTAATGTTATTCTTCAGACAACAAGGAAACTCTTCAAGATGGACTCTAATACGAGCAAGAATGTGTACTAATTAGGAGCAGGATTTTGAAATGCATCAAAATTGTATAAACTCTTGGACACAACTGCCTAGCGAGCTAATTTTACAGGGACAAGTTTATATCATTTGGTACCATAGCATCCATACGCAGGGTACAAGGTACAAATCCATGGTGAAGTAACCTTAGGGAGGGTTGATATCTGCAGACAAAACAGAAGGATCGCCGAAGTGACCCAACTTGGAAGGATGGGCCTCCAGGACAACAATTGTGGAACATGATTGAATGTTATGGGACGGCTTATGATTCTATATCTAAGATTGGGACTAGAGTGCACATGTGAAATATTCGACAGCATTCCCTTTTTTACAGGGATAAATCTTCCCCTGAGTTCATATCAACTTGATAAATTGCCTACCTGATTCTTCAGACTACAGATACATACAGTCCTACCAACATCCCCACCACCATAAAACAAATTCATACCAATAAAACAAAGCCAACGAATTAAACAACAATCATCCTAGGCCGGACTTGCCAGTCTTATCAAATACCGAGCAATTTGTAATATTATATTTCCCAATCAACCACACTATTCATCAGACATCATCCAGTACAACAAATCAAAAGGAATTCAATTCCAATGAAGGTAAACTGCAAAACAAATAGAGCCACAATGCCATGAAGAAAACTACTTGAATTATACGAAAATGATCTCCATGTGACATATCATGTATAGAGCAAAACATTGGTCTTTACCAAAATTTGAGAACCTCCATGCATCAAACAAAACAGGTTCTATCACAAGAGAACCTATACCACTGAGTTTTGGACTCAAAATATTAACATAAAATCCATGAAAAACCATGAACTACCTTCAAGATAACCTCTAATCCTTCAAAGACTTCATCGAATCCAATACAAGTTTAGTCTGTTCCTGCATCAAATCAAGCTTCTTGACAGACAAATCCATTTCAATGAGCTGCAATGCCCTCCACCTCTCCTCCAACTCTTTAGCCTTGGAACTCCCAACCAAAGAAGGCATCTTCTCAGTCAAAAGTCTAGTTAAATCCGACCTCGGTGCACAATTGCCCGTCCTCAAAGAACCACTCAGACATGGATACTTAGACCAAAAGTCATCCGGGTCAGCCTTAACTCCTCTATTAGTCACATTATTCTGCACCTCTTTCTTCACAGACACGTCTGAAACCGGCAAGGCCAGAACCGTATCGTTGTTAACCTTATTATTCTTCCTCGGCGGCTTCCTCTTACCGCCCTTCACATTGCTATCGAGTCCATTGGCCTCAGAACCCCAAATCTTTTTGCACAGTTCAAAGCACTTAAGCTCATGGGGCTTCGAAAACACCGGGTCCTCGCCATCCTCTCCAGCCTGGTACTTCTTCTTCAATCTCCTGATCTTATCAGTCAACTTCTCAGCCAATTGGTCGGTGCTCAAATCGACCTGCAAATCATTCTTGATGAACTCAAGGAATGGAGCCACATTCGAACTCGCCGCCACACCTTTCTTGCTTTCGAACTCTATAATGCCCTTCAGGATCGTTATCTCATCGTCCTCGCTCCAAAAACGCTGCCCCTTTTTCGCATCCTCATCGTCGCCGCCGACCTTCTTCTTCTTGGAGTTTTTCAGGCTGGGCTCGGTCTCCGCCGGTCGCTTCGACCCGGAACTGGGCGCGGCCGTAGGCTTCGCCGAAGCAGTCTTCTTGCTGGGCATAACAGCGCTGTTTGCGGGCTTGGAGACGATCGGCTTGACGGTGAAGTCGGAAGCTGACGGCGAGTGGTTATCGGACTCGGTCTCCGACCCGGATCCGGAATCGTCTTCGGAGGCAGAACCCGATTGGGGATTTGACTTCGTGACCACCGCAGAGGGCTTTTCTTCCTCCTCTTCTTCTTCCTCCTCCTCTTCCTCTTCCTCTTCCTCTTCTAAATCATCATCATTGAGATCCACAGATTTTGCTTTGTTGACTTCAACGGCGTCGTCTTCTTCCCCTTCCTCTTCCTCTTCGTCGACGGTTTCATCATCGGATTCCTCCATCACGGCGGCCGGCGGGTCTTCTACAAGTTTCTTCGGAGCCATCGGAGAGAGAAAGAGAGGGTCTTGAATTGGGAAAGCTTTGATTCTGTAACAGAGCCGAGCGACAGCCAGAAGTGAGAGCCTTTACATTAGAGGACAGAGTTTATATAGAGTTTCGTAGTAGGGTTTTGACCAGAAACTTTGTGACGTGTCGGTAGTCTATTTGCCAAAGACGGTGGGACCACGTCGTTTTTGGTTACTCTCCAATGTTTATCCCACGTTAATTAAACGGGAATTTTTATAATAAAACAAAATTTGACTTGCGTGAAATTACATTATAATTTTTATTTATGTTCAATTTTAATTAGAATGTTAGAATGGTACTCTATGAAATTTTGATTGACAATCGAGATTTTATTAATATGTAATTTAAATTATAAATGGGAAATATGATAAAACGAAGAGTAATGTTGCGTAAACTAACTTTTTAGATTATATTTGCAAATAATCAACAATCACGTTATACAGATTAAAAAAATATAATTTAAATAGATAGTTTCTCTAGCATTATCCTAAAACGAGAGAAATGTTGATATGGTAATATATACATTCAATTTTTAATGTTCGATCGGTATATTGTTTCTTGATAGCTGCAGAATATGAGTGCATATTCATATGTGTTATGATGATTGACGAGTCACTCACATCTGTGACATCCCACATCGCTCCAGGGGAGCGATACTTAAATGTATATTCTTATCCCTACCTAGCACGAGGTCTTTTGGGAGCTCACTGGCTTTGAGTTCCGTAGGAACTCCGAAGTTAAGCGAGAAGGAGGCAAAAGCACTCCCAGGATGGATGACTTACTGGGAAATTGCTCGTGAGTTCCCATAAATAAAACCGTGAGGGGGTGGTCGGGGCTCAAAACGGACAATATCGTGCTACGGTAGTGGAGCGGGCTCGGGAAGTGGTCTGCCCCGGGCCGGGATGTGACACATCAATGCTTGTTCGCCTGAGTACTCACTTTAGTCATACTACTTGTTCGCTTACAATGTTGCAATCGATCAGAGAAATAAGATTCAGACGAGTTATTTTTGAGTCAAATTAAGCACGCATCAAGTCCTCAAATTATACAGTAAACCTCACATTGCAGAATCCAAATTATGTTTTGGTATGAGAGTGTAAAATGATAAACGATGGAAAAAACAACAACAAAGTATCTGATCTTTTAAACTTCACAAGTCTTTCTGTACCTAAGAAACCCCATTTGCCATTGGATCCAGGAGTCCCTTTTCAACAAGCACTTTTCCTGGAAATACACCACCTTTGTGCGACCAACAAATTTCAAAAACAAAATTCTAGGGCTCAAAAGAAATTAGACACCGATGAATTGCGCGAAAGTACCGTCTCTTCATCGTGCCACAGCGATTTCAATGCTGTCTGAATTTGTGGACTATACAGTCACAGAGAGAATGGCACAAAAACTTGAAGGCCAATTTCATACTGCACACATGGTTTTAGCACTACTGCATTACTTGAACTCCAAGCAACCGTCAATGTGCTTCCAAATTAAAATACACCTATCCTAAATGAAAAGCTAGGTCTCATCATCTGAACTGAAACCCTCCTCGACCCGCCGTTCTGCAATTGCTGGAAATAGTCGTTGACGCATATCTGTAGGTGGTGTTTGACGATTTTCTGGAGTTGTTTCTGTCGCCGTTGGGGCCTGAGCCTCTTTCTTGGCATTCTTCGCCGCCTTCATTGTCGAATTTCGGACCTCTGTGCATACCTTGTTTAGAATTACCAAGAAATCTCGTACAATGGCAAACAAGCGAATGCCTTCATCCCTCCCTGCGTTCCCGTGGAAGTAATCCGCTGTGCTCTTCACAAGAGCAGTTATCCTCTTTTCTTCTTCCAACAGCCATGTAATATCAGATTCCGCCCGCTCCACAAAACTGGCTAGTGTGCGTTGGAATTCACTATCTTCATCCATATTCTTCATCTCAACATTTATAAAATCTCGATTTTTTATTAAGGACTGGCCAAGATTTGCAACTGTCGACGTTAGGCCATCAGCATCTACAAGTGCAGCCTTTTTCACATCTTCAAGTTCATCGCTTAAACCTGAGACAACCTGAAGACCGAGGTTACACAAGTGCTCCTCTGATTCCTCATTGACATCCTCAGTTATGTCCTCTGTACTCAAGTTGGACATGCTCCGGCTTTCTCTGGCTGTGCGAATAGCTCTACGACCCTCAGAACGCATGATCTCTTGAACTACAAAGTGCAAGAGTGTGGTTTTGCCATCAGTGCCTTTTACATCAGCGAGTTTCAAAAGCGTATCAAGCCTAAATGCCTGCGCACCACCACGGTAGGTGCCATCATTCATACGGTTTCCAGTTTTGAGAACCGCTTCTAAAAGTTTTAGGAATAGCCTGCTCTTTCTGAGTTTGTTGCAAGCAACCTGACATTTATGGCGAGGAATAGTTAGATAACATAGAAACATTGAAGGTTGCTTTGACTAACCATAATTGTTCAATAGATAGATTGCGTTCGCAGATCAAGAGTCTCACCTCTAAAGTTATGAAGGACTCTTTAGTGGTAGAAACCTCCTCTGGCAGAGAACACATAAACAACAGTGACTCCATGCGCTTAAAAGCAAATGGTATGTCGACCATGGCTTTGAGGAACCGCTCTGCGTGACCAAGTTGAGCAGTATCCCCTGTGAATAACCTAAGCTTCAATTCTTCTTCCGCAGTTGGTGCCATCCTCAACAAGTTTTGGAGGAACTCCACAGGAAGCTCATTACCTGATTCAATCAATAAAGGTAAGAACCATGTTACTGATAAGAAATAACATGGAACTTCAGAGAGACAAGTGGCCAATGATGAAGAGTTGTTCCCATGTAAACAATATAAAGTGAATATCTCATAGCAAAGTGTCTCACGATGAGAGAGAGACTCACCCTCTCGGAGGGCATCAGCAACTTCTTCCGCTGTCAGATTCAATGCTCGTAGAAGAATTGCAAGATTTTGTGCTTTCTTTCTGTCGATAATTTGAATATACTGGACTGCAGGTTCTAAGGCTGATGCTTCCTTCCTGCGATCATTTTTGGCTTTATCCGCAGTGTTATAACCAAATAGCGACTCTATCTGCTCCTCATTGAATCTGTAAATAAGTAGGAAGTTAAATTGGAGTATTTAAAGTTAATTTTTGATGAAAAATTAGATCCATCAAGGGAAAGTTAATGCCTTACTGGAATGATCCTGCACTGATCTCATGCCAGACCATTGACTGATCCGAATTGGTATTAACCTTATCCCAAAAGAATGGCTTTAGCTTGGTCTTTTGAGATCCCTCAGCATCCATATCACCACTACCTCCACTGTTTGCTTTGCGATGAAGTCCTATAGGCGGACGGTTGCTCTTACCAGGCAATGGTTTCGGTGGAGGTGCAACTTTCGGAGGTGGTGGGGCCTTAGGACGAGGAGGAGGAGGTGGTGGTGGACCTGGTGGTTCAGGTGGTGGAGGAGCTTGTCTTCCAGGGGGAGGTTTTAGGGGAGGAACTGACCCTCCTGCCACGGCTTCTGATGTAGTTGCATCACCAGGTGCAGATTCATTTTCTTTTTTCAGGGCCATATTGTTTGCAAAATTTGCACTAGTGCCGAACTCTTTGTTACTGGAATTTCCTAAACTAGTAGACTTCTGAGAAGAACCTGTGGCATTACAAAGGTTGTGACAGGCCTTAGAATGCGAAGAAAATCATCATCAATTTGTGGAAGAAAGCTAATAATTGTAAACATACCAGCGGATATTGTGAGAAGAGGCCTATCATCATTTGGTCCATTTCTTGGACCAATTTTTCGGCTTCTCCTTTTCTTAATACAGCAGAAACAGAGAAGTGCAACAATGATAAATATTACAACTGCAGCTCCAGCAATAGCAATTAGTTTAATCACATTGCTGTTATCCTTTTGTGGCGCCTTTTTTTTACCAAATGAGGGATCCTTTGCTGGTGGATTTTTCTTTTTTGGTGAGGGTTTCGCATCCTTTGATGGTGGATTTTTCTTTTTCGACGAGGGATCCTTTGATGCGGGATTAGGACTAGCGTGAAAAGTAGTATGAGTTTTCTTAGAGGATGAAGGTGAAGGTGAAGGTGCTTGATATCTAGGCAACCTAGCTGCAGGGCCGGGAGCTAGAACTGGAGCATGCCCGGGTTGTGGAGAAGGAGAAGGACTTGGCGTTGTTGGCTTACGTGAATCGCTGGCCAAATGTCTTCTAGGAGCATCCGGCCAGCCTAAAAGCCACCCTAAGCAGCTGATGAACCAATTTTTCGAGGTAGCCTTTTCTTCAGAAGCATGAAGCAGAAGCCCTTTCTTTCTTAAGCAATCAAAAAGTGTTTTTTTCACATGATGAGGAAGAACTAAAATTGCATGGTGTATGTTTCTTTTCGTTAAGAACGTTGTTTCAGAGTCAGCGGCTGCTTCCTGTGGAATGTACAAGTTAAACTTTTCGATAGCATCTTTCTCATCTATCAGTTCTTTCCTGCAATGGATCCATGCCTGCTCTGCCTGCAGTCACAAGATCTAGTCAAATTTCGGTGATAAAACATGTACTCCTCTTGTACAATAATGAAGTAGCTATCATGAGTTCAATTTTCAATACAACAATTACAAAATATTTCAATCTTTTGCCTATACGCAGTTGTCATTTCTCACACAGCCGAATGCAGTTTCGCGGTATACAATCTGCTATTGTTTTTGCTGGTGGAGTTTTCTATCTTTTCTACAAGCCATTTGCTCCTATCTGTCTTTAACTCAATGTAGAGTTACATGTTGGCATATATAGCTTAAGCATGAAGAACAAAGTGCACATAATTTGCAAATTCATCCCTCCATGTATTAGCAAAACAAAAAAGGATTGTGTCACCTAAATAGGTTCTTAGCTTCTTCAGAACAGGAACCTGCTAGTGTTACATACAAACACGACAAGCGGAAATTGAAGATCAAATTCATTTTTTCTCGAGCCATATTCTAATTAATCTAATCGACATCATGCAGAGGAGCGGAGGGGAAACACACTACTCTAGCCAACTTAGGTACGCCCAGGTCATTGCAAATTTGACTTTAATTTTCTCTTCCCATTAGCAATCAAGACTAGTTATTTCTTGGTTTCAACACAACATCGCATTGCAGAAGCGAGAAAAAAAACTTACTTCGAGTAAAATTTAATTAATTTCTAATTAAATGCAAAATTTGGCAACAACGTAGCTAACAATCACGAAGGAAGAAGATAGCAGGAAAAAGAATTAAGAGGGTAATTCAAATTATGTTCATACCATGTCTTCGTCTATCTCCTCGGAGAGCCAATCGCCGCCATTGCCGAAAAATGTTTCTCTCGTCCTCCTCACACCCTCCGACGCCCCTATCACCAACGCGCAAAGCAGAATCACAAAAACAACCGCATAGCTGCCTCTTCCCATTTCCATCCCGTCCATATATTTTCCTTTTCATTTCATCGAACTTGTCGCACAATCCTCAATTTTCTCTCCAACCAAACAGAAACGAAACGTTTCCAAAAGAGAAGAAACCGGCCTCGAAGCTCCACCTGCAAGTTGCAACAATGGCGGCCGCGCGCCCTTCTGTTCCGCGTTCTTATCCCCACGTGATTAAAATCTTCAATTTTGACGGCAACCCACGTCAAGTTTCTCAGCTATGCGAACAATCGGAAAAACACAGACTTTGAAGATTCAAACGTCGAGATACGAACATGCAAGAGCAGACCAAAAACAACAACGCCTGCAAAACTTTATACTATTTTAAAACGTCAAAGCATTGCTGTTTTCACGACCGCCATTAATAAACGCAAGAAAAAAGCTGAATCAAAACACAAATTCATGGGGTGGGGGCTCTAATCTAATTCAACCCAGAAGGATTTTAGCTAATCTGGATATTTATTGTGATAATATTTTTTTCTGTTTAGATTTTTGTTCGTCGGGATGTTTCTTGTTTTTCGGGGGTTTAGGAGGAGAGAGAAAGAGAATGACGCGTGATATGGACGTGAGGAGAACAATGTGGGACGTCCATGGTTGTCTTTAGACTTATTTTGGTCTTTTGTCTCTTGACCTCCCTTCGGCTTTTACAACACTTGCCTTCATCCAATTTTTTTGTTTTTCTCATTTTATTCTTATCTATTACTTTTCTTTTTTTTTCCCAAATTTAGCATCTACGTTTTTTTTTATTAAGAAAATTAATGAAAAAGACTTGAAAACTTTGAATTTTAACAATAAGGACAACATGAAGGGTAAATTGAATAATATTAAGATTGACTTTTTAATGTAAAAATGTAGTTTTTCGTTAAAGTAAACAGTACTTGGAGCTTTTCGTTAAAGTTCCATTTTTTATTTGGAGTGGAGGGAACATTGAACATCAGCTCTCGAGTTCATTGATAAATCGAAATTTTTGTCAAAATTTCATCCACATGCAGGAGTAAAAAGGTGATTTCATTACTAATCTTAATCACCCACCATCTTCCCCTCTCACATAACCCTAAACTCATTACCCAAGCCATCCCCACTCACCACCCTTCTTATAAAATCAAACCAAATTCAATGTTTTCTTCATGAATTCTCCATATTTTATGTTCACTAAAATATAATATGCAAGTTGACATTCATATTTTTATTCAATATTCATTGACTATAGTACTAGCCGTATAGTTAAGTGCTATAGCATTTGGCCTCATGGTCTCGGGTTAGAAGGCTTGTAACATCCCACATCACCCATGGGAGTGATCCTTAAATATATATTCTCATCCCTACCTAGCACGATGCCTTTTGGGAGCTCATTGGCTTCGGGTTCCGTCGGAACTCCGAAGTTAAGCGAGAAGGTGGCCAGAGCATTCCCATGATGGGTGACCCATTGGGAAGTTGCTCGTGAGTTCCCAAAAACAAAACCGTGAGGGCGTGGTCAGGGCCCAAAGTGGACAATATCGTGTTACGGTGGTGGAACGGGCCCGGAAAGTGGTCCGCCTCGGACCGGGATGCGACAAGGCTAGTATCGTAGAGAAGGAATATAATTTGACATGTGGTCCAATATCCTAGTGTGGTCAAATAATTTTAATTGCCAAATTTTTTTTCTCGTAGTGTGGTGAGACACTAGTTTTAAATAAAGGAAAAATAATGAAAATGGCTTGAAAACTTTGAGTTTTAATGATAATGACAAAATAAAGGGTAAAATGAATAGTACCATGTTTGATTTTTTTAGTGTAAAAATGTGGTTTTTCGTTAAAGTGAACAGTACTGCAGACTTTTCGTTAAAACTCCCTTTAAATAAATCTATGTAGTGAAAAACCTGCTAATCTTAACCTGTGGTAAAGTTCGTTATCAAATCGAAATTTTTGTCAAAATTTCATCCACATGCAGGAGTAAAAAGGTGATTTCATTACTAATCTTAATCACCCACCATCTTCCCTTCTCACATAACCCTAAACTCATTACCCAAGCCATCCCCACTCACCACCCTTCTTATAAAATCAAACCAAATTCAATGTTTTCTTCATGAATTCTCCATATTTTATGTTCACTTAAATATAATATGCAAGTTGACATTCATATTTTTATTCAATATTCATTGACTCTAGTACTAGCCGTATAGTTAAGTGCTATAGCATTTGGCCTCATGGTCTCGGGTTAGAAGGCTTGTAACATCCCACATCATCCATGGGAGTGATCCTTAAATATATATTCTCATCCCTACCTAGCACGATGCTTTTTGGGAGCTCATTGGCTTCGGGTTCCGTCGGAACTCCGAAGTTAAGCGAGAAGGTGGCCAGAGCATTTCCATGATGGGTGACCCACTGAGAAGTTGCTCATGAGTTCCCAAAAACAAAACCGTGAGGGCGTGGTCAGGGCCCAAAGTGGACAATATCGTGCTACGATGATGGAGCGGGCCCGGAAAGTGGTCCGCCTCGGACCGGGATGCGACAAGGCTAGTATCGTAGAAAAGGAATATAATTTGACATGTGGTCCAATATCCTAGTGGGTAGGATATTAGGTTTTCTCCTATGCGTCCCAAACTCCTGTCTCCCTAAATTATTATATTAATTTCAAACCCTCCCCTCCCCTCCCATCCCCTTACAATAATAATCTTTTAGTAGATTATCCAAGCCAAAACAATCCTAAATCACAGACGGGCACTTATTTCATGTATTTGTCTCCCCCAACGGAAACAGTTATAAATGAATTCGTGCACAAATATGTCAACAGGGGATGTAGCTCAGATGGTAGAGCGCTCGCTTAGCATGCGAGAGGTATGGGGATCGATACCCCACTTCTCCATTCTTTTTAAACTTTTCATTTTTTTATCCTTTTTTTTTTTCACTCCTTTAGTACTGCAGTCTGCATAAACAAACGGGAGATAGCGAAATTGAAATGCCCGCCACCTCCTTCTTCTCTACTCTTTGAAAGCTCGTGAATATATATTTACACACACACACACACACACACACACATATATATATATATATATTTATATTTCATGTTTTGCAAACTTGTTTCTGATGAACGGCAATGGCAATCTCAATCTCAAACTCCTCAAAAAATCTATCTGCTCCTCCACTCTCCATCTCAAACATCAATCTCTCAGCCCACCATTCACTTCCCTCCAATGCGGAACCATCTTCCAATCCCTCACCAAAACCAAATCCTTCCCAAAAGGCCAGCAGCTCCACGCCGTCGCTGTCACCGCCGGAAATCTCATCAACAACACCTATCTCAGCACCAAGCTCGCCGCTTTCTACGCAAACTGTGGTAAAATGCCCCAAGCGCAGCTGATTTTTGATGGAATTTTACTGAAAAACTCGTTCCTGTGGAATTTCATGATCAGGGGATATGCCTGCAATGGATGTCCGATCAAGTCTCTGGTTTTGTACCGTGAAATGCTTAGTTTTGGACAGAAGGCGGACAATTTTACCTACCCTTTTGTTCTTAAGGCGTGCGGTGATCTGTTGGTTGTGGAAATTGGGAGGACGGTTCATGGGGAGGTTGTGGTTAGTGGGCTGGAGTCGGATGTTTATGTGGGTAATGCTCTTCTGGCAATGTACTCCAAGTTCGGGGATATGAGGTTGGCAGGGATGGTGTTTGATAGAATGCCTGAGAGAGATTTAACTTCTTGGAACACAATGATTTCGGGTTGTGTGAAGAATGGTGACCCAAGAGAGGGTTTAATGATTTTTGAGGAAATGGGGAAGGCGGGATTGAGAGCAGATGGGACAAGTTTGCTTGGGATACTCTCTGGTTGTGCTGAGTTGATGGCCTTGAAGGAGGGGAAAGCAGTTCATGCATATGTGGTTCGAAACAGTGGTGAAATACATAACGAGTTTTTGACCAATTCTCTTATTGAGATGTATTGTAAGTGCAAGTCTGCGGCTTATTCGAGGCGATTATTTGATGGGGTGAAATTGAAAGATACTGTGTCATGGAACTCTATGATCAGTGGTTATGAGCAGAATGGAGATGCTTTTGAAAGCTTGAGACTTTTCTGCCAAATGGTTATGGAAGGTGCAGAGGTTGATGAAGTAACTGTCACAAGTGTGCTCGGAGCTTGTGACCAGATCAGCGCCTTGCAATTTGGCATGTCTGTTCATTCATGCATCGTCAAGAAAGGGTTTGGTGGAAATATCTTTGTGGGAACTGCCCTTATAGACATGTATTCTAAATGTGGAAGTTTGTCTTGTTCCCGTTGTGTTTTTGATGAGATGCCTGTAAAAAACTTGGTTTCTTGGAGTGCTATGGTTTCAGGATATGGTGCTCATGGGAGGGGAGAAGAAGCAATCTCTTGTTATCACGAACTGGTAGCAAATAATTTCACTCCAGATGAAGGGGTTCTCACTTCTGTTTTGTCAGCATGTAGCCATGCCGGCCTAGTCAATGAAGGTAAAGATATTTTTAATAGAATGACGGTAGAATACAATGTGAAGCCTGGACTTGCTCACTATTCATGTTTGGTGGATCTTCTGGGAAGAGCAGGGCGCATAGATGAAGCATATGAGCTCATTAAGAGCATGCAAGTAGAACCTAGCAGTGATATATGGGCTGCACTTCTTTCTGCTTGCAGGTTACACAAGAATGTTAAGCTGGCGGAGATTGCAGCACAAAATGTTTTTGAAATGAACCCAAAAGGAGTGGGGAGCTACATTTGCCTTTCCAACATTTATGCTTCTGAGAAGAGATGGGATGACGTGGAAAGAGTGAGAGCTGTGGTGAGAAGGAAGGGACTGAAGAAACCACCCGGCTGCAGCTTTGTGGAGTTAGATAAGATGGTTCATAGGTTTTTAGTTGGAGATAAGTCACACCCACAGACACGAGATATTTATGCCAAGTTAACAGACTTGAATCTGCAGCTCAAGGAGGCTGGATACAAGCCGGACACCGCTTCAGTGTTCTATGACGTTGAAGAGAAAGTAAAGGAGAAAATGCTTTGGGATCATAGCGAGAGACTGGCAATTGCTTTTGCCCTTATTAACACACAACCTGGGACGACAATCAGGATAACCAAGAATCTTCGTGTATGTAACGATTGCCACACGGTAACAAAAATGATCTCTATGCTTATGAATCGAGAGATTATAATGCGAGATATCCACAGGTTCCACCACTTTAGACATGGAGTTTGCTCTTGTGGGGATTACTGGTGAATGATTCTGTCATGAGATTGTCTGTACATTCATTCTATGGGAAATACAGATTCTTTTATTCAAACAGAAAACATCTCAAATTGTTTTCACATTGCCAGTTTGCCACCGTATGCGAATTTATAGGTTGCTTCTCTCCCAGCCTTGCTGTTGTATCACTTAAATAGAGCTAAGATTTTGCTTATCAAATTAGAGAGTAGGCCAACAAGTCCACCAGCTCCACCACTGACACTCATATCTGTTTCTTTATCCCATGGGAATGGCTCCTCTGCTTTGGTTGCTTCCAGAAGATCTTCAATCGAAATCTCTGGTTTCGACCTCTCCAAAGGACCTAGGTGGTGATTGTACTTCTCTGGGTCTGGACAGTAATCCTGCATAAATGAGGGATCCGATGACATATTTCACCATGAAAGAGCATATTCTTAAATCACATACATAAAGATTTGTTTACCTGATCAGCATGCATCTTCTTTACAAATATCTTGAATATATCAAGATTCGTCTTTTGCAGTAGTTCATCAGATAAACGAAGGTATGTCACCCCATACATCCTTAATTTTGGTTGGCCGTCTTTATTGATGCCATTTGGTCTAGCATTTAGAAGGATTTGGTCATAAGCCACACTGTCGTATCTAGAAAGTGCATTTTCTCCGGCAACTTCTATGTTTTCTCTCCAACCTCCACTCAAAACCTGCACATGCATTTTGCAAAACATAATTGTCAAGAATGCAGTTGTCCATTTTCAATCCATCCTTACTTTAACTTGTTTGTTCCTTTTTAAATTTGTTATTGATGCGCTTTTTACTTTCCATATTTTTGTAATTGAATAGCATAAATTCGTTAAGAAACATATTTTATTTAGAACATGGGTTTTACTAGATACTGTATAACTGTCAAACTAAAGAAAGATTAGTTTTTGTATGGTTTTCCAAGACAATCATTTCGACATGTTTTATGGAGGGAATTGTACGAGAAAACAACAGTAAAACGGTATTTTTTTCCAATGAGAAACGAGACTGAAGTAGGAAAGCTGGTCTTAATAAATTTCAAGATGTTTACCTGCTGAACAAGTTCCTCAGGTGCACTTTTGGCATCAGCACTTTGTTCAGAGTTCCTCATCTCTAAACATGTGAAATTCAAAATGGCATGATGCCTTGACAGCATCCTGGCTATAGGTCGGTACCCATCTCTATCTTTCAAGTTGTAGTATCCTGCGGTAAGCTCCGCGGCGTGATTATCAACTTCATACCACCAGTGGATTCCAGATACCTGTAATCAAGCAGATTCTCGGATTAACATTGGGCGAAAGATCGTAGGTACTGCTAATAACAGTTTTTTATGACATTAGAATATTTACTTTGGCTGCTAGCTTTAATTTACAGCCCACAAAAACTTTGTTGGCTTCATCCAGGATCTGATCACCATGGATCATTAATTTGTTAGAGTACCAAGTCAAGAAGAACTTCCCTTTCTCAGTAACATATGTCCCATTTGATCTGAAGAACTCCGAGGATTCAGGAGTGTCATTATATTCTCCGGCGTTATCTGGCAAAGCCCACTCAGGATGACCTGCAGCTGTTGCAGCCTCTTTGAACTCTGCTTGGAGATACTTGTCAAAGCACTGCAATATGGAATAGGTAACGTGTTTAAAACTTAAACTTGCTTGAATATTTCCAGTAAGCCATAGGATCGTCATATTAATAAATCAATCCCACCTGAAACTCTCCGATCCCTGGAAAAGCCCATCCTTGACTTTCCGGATAAGAGGGATACCTGAGCTCTCCTGCAGGTCCAAGCCCTACTTCAATGTCTATAACAAGTCCGGTTTCTAGAAAATCCGACATGTTCTCTCTGAAACTTTTCATGTAATCACCGTATATCTGTAACACAACTATTAACATATAAGTAACCTTGATAAAAATGAATGCTGGTTGATGGCATGAACATTTTACATATAGAAATCATGTGAACCTTACCTGCACAGCGGTTCGTCCGTCAAAGAGATGCAGGTTATCCACACCTAGAGTGAGGTATTCCGGGTTCCTGTTACCTTTGAGATTGGTATAAAATATATCGGGGTCTGATTCTCCGATCTCAAGTACCCATTTGGGAATGGGGATGGTTACAACATCTCCTACATTCCCACCACATTGGTGGAATGACATTATAGCTTGTAATTTCAGCCCACAATCTTCAACTGCTTGAAACACGCTCCTATAAGCACTCCAGTCATACTGCTTAGGCCCTTTCGATTCTATGATCCCCCACCACACATCTATCATCACCCCATCAACACCCGCTGCCCGTAACTCCTTCAGGTCCTTAACGAGTTTGTCCCCGTCTTCCAAAACATTGTCAACCGTAACAACTCCCAACTGGTACGAAGAAAAACCCGAAAGGAAAAATTACAACTTTTACTTTGTGATGATCATTATATTTCGTACCATTATGCATACATAGTGTGAGTGAAAAGAAGAATCATGACTTACAGGGAGCATCACGAAGATCGGCACATAGTTTTTGAGCATTTTTTCTTGATAAGTGAGAGTAGTTGCAACCTGCGTTGTTGTGTAAGAGAAGATTTTTTAGGGTTTGATTTGTCTGAGAGGATGGAGTTGGTGCTACTTTACCACTCCCAGCTGCCTTTTTATAGAAAATATCTCACTATCCTTGGTAACCTAAAAAAGAAAGATAAGGACGACTTCTACTGTACCTTATCTTTGCACACACAAAGTATTGGTAGCCCCAATGCTTATTTTGTTTGCATTCTTTAGGTGCTATTAGGACCGCCTCTGAGGGTCTGATCCCATATATGCCCTCATAAAGCCTTATACAAGGCTTATACAAGGGGTATTAAGGTCATTTACCCCATGGGACACCTACAGCTTCATTAATCTTAGAGTGAAAAGTAAAGTTGCCCTTCAAGGTTTTTAAAGTTGGACTTGGATTGTCTGCCCTCCCGTTTCAGTGCCCTTTCCGTGCTCTCCTGTTTTGTGTGGTCACGATTAAGCCACGTCAACATTTTATATTGTTTTTTTATAAAAATAATAAAACAAAAAAAAATAGTAATATAAAATATTGACGTGGTTTAATCGTGACCACACAAACAAGAGGGCACATGGAGGGCACTGAAACGGGAGGGCAGACAATCCAAGTCCTTTAAAGTTAGTTCAAACTCATGCTTTTTTGTTTGGTCAGTACTGCAAAGTCATGCTTCTTGTGTCTGTTTCAGTATCTCAACCCAATCATGCATTATTATGTATGCGTTTTAACATTTTTAATGATTGACTTGAGATACCGTCACAGTGACATTCCTATTTTAGGGAAGTTTTTCTCTTGTTGCAATCTTTAGATATTTATGGAAGAATTTGTACATGAGAAGATTTTGAGGCAGTCACTTACCGTTCGTTCTGTGGTGGAGATTTCTGATGCAATAGCTCGAGGACTTTGGATTGCGCTGCGGGAGCAGAATGCCGGAGCTGAATTGGCTCCTTGCCTCCATACTTTACTTGCTCCCTCTGCACTCTCGAGTACGTTTAAAAATGGAAAATGCGGGCAGAAGAAGCACCTACTGTGGTAAGCACTTGTTTTCTCCCCCAAACCACCTAGAGCTGTTGTTATTGTCAATGTTGTCATGGTGACTATATGTACGGCCTAATTGTCACCAAAACGACAATTGTATAACATTATTGAGCAGAAAAGAAGTCCGTACGACATGAAGCGTGATGTAGCATGAAAACTCTGGTTTCTTGTTGCCTGCAACGATATATAGGTTATGGTTATGGAAGATTTTCTAGAGAGTTTTGGTTGGAGAGGGAAAGAGAAGACAGAGGCCACGTTATTTTCTGGCCATGCTTATTTTGCTGATTTATTGTATCTTTCAAGTCATTTTCTTCTCCATTTTTCTGTGGACTTGAGAGCATCTGTTCAAAAGATAGAAACAAAAAAAATGGCATCCAAACAAAAAAAGTTTGTATCCCTTTGAAAAGAGGCATGCATTTTCTTATTTTTGACGAATGATAGGATATTTATTCATAACAAAGCTTCGTCACTTCAGTAGGCTAGTCACGGCTACTGGCAGATCCACATAAAGGATAAAGTGTATGCAATGTCCCTTGGCTATGAAGGCAAGATGCTTGACAAAATACTTCAGAGAGTTTAAGGGTAATGTAAGTAGCAAAGAGAAGCTAACCAAAACGTAGTGCGAGCTTCATCTTATCCATCCATTATAGAGATTGAATTTAGTCCAGAAAAAGCCCACAACTAAAAAGCTTCAACAGGGTCGGAGCCCATTAGAAAAGTTGTAAATAAGAGCGAAACCGAGGGTAATTTGTCACAATCAATTGATCCAGCTCCATCCCAAAGAGAAATGACACGGTTAGTGGCTTGACTCCCAATATATATCCTCTTCAACGGCTTTAATTTAGTCAAACCTGTACTAACTTTCTATACCGCTCACCTCCTTTTAACAAAAAAATTTGTAATAATGGTACCTTATATCTTAACTAGATTAACGATATTTCAATTAAAAATTTATGGTCATCAGTTTTTTAACTCATCAAAACATGTATCTATGAATTTTTCGTCTATTATGTCAGAATTGCATCAAAACGAGTCATGTTGGAATGACCATTGCTATAATTATGTTAAAATTGAGGGATCACTGCACCAAGTGCGTTAAAGTTGAGAGATTATTTCTCTAATTGGGTTAAAGTTGGGAACCATTGCTATAATTTTTCTTAATTTTTTTTTTCATAGTTGCCCCTTGATTTAGTCTTATGTGCGTGGCAGGTGGTTCATTTTGATGGAAGTTTTAACGGATTTGAAAAAAAAAAAACCTTAGCTGCATGTTTTGATGAGTTAAAAAACCAACGAATTTTTAATTGAGAAACTTACTCCAATAGATAGAAAAAAAAAAAAAAAAAACAAGAAGATTAAGTCATTTCTCTCCGCTGGTGTGAGAGACCTTCGTTGTGAGTGTTGGTTCTCTCCTTTGTGAAAGTTTTGGTAGTTTCCCTTATCGCTGGTTCTTGTTTGTTTTTTAGTTTGCTCTGCTGTGGCTTTGTTTTATTTGCACTGTATTTCCTTGTGCGAGGTGATCTCTTGGTGTTTGATTGATCTTAACCACCCCCTATGGCTGGGGTTGGGGGAATTTATGTTGCTTATTTCTTACCTGCTTTTATTGAAGTTTGGTGTACTCCAAATACCCTTCGATTTCTATTGGTTGGTTAGGTAGATTATTCTACAACAATACACTGGTTTTGTGTGCTGAACCTTCTAGTTGTCGGAGCTTTCTGTATTTGTCAAAAGGATAACTTGCCAAAAGAAGATTTGTGGAGAAATCTAACTATTATCGGAGCAGTCAGTTAAGTCTTCAAGGATCTATCATTTTCACTTTAGCTCGTGGACATTTGGTAGGAAGCAACATCAAAGAACATATGGAGCACTTGACGATGAATGATTTGGTGGTCCAGTTGGAGCAGTCAATGGATCTTTCGAATTTGAAATGTGGGGTTAAATTGGTGGGGGCAACTCTGACTAATAAGATGTTGAATAAGTTGAGGGTTTAGAATATCTTACGGTCGGCTTGGAAGGATTTGGGGGAAGTTCAAGTCAAATGGGTCAGAGAAAATACTTATCTAATTATAGTGCAAAATGAAAGCACTGCGGGAAG